CAATGAATGTTCCATTTACTAAAACAGAGTTCAACACAGTGCACTTAAATTTGTGCATGCAGGTAAAAGTGGAATTATATACTTAATGATTATCAGACCTTTAAGAATCGTTTACACTGATGTTATGTGGCTCTCAAGCGGCTGACATTCTCTAGGTGACTTTCACTGGTCCCAAGATCTTATGAAAGGCCCAGATTGGCTTTTATCTCTGACAAAAATGCAAGGTGTTTACAGGATAGGTGTCTATGTTCTAACATCTCTTCAAAATTGAGTGGGCAGACGTTCATCCCCCATTAGAAAATGCTTTAACTGGGACCTTAGTGTTGTGCTAACAGTTTTGACTTTTAATAACTGGTTCTTATTTTGTTTTAATGTCAAGCAATTTTATGTTTCATTTTGTAAGCTGTTTTGAAAATCTTATTGCAAGGGGCATTGACATAATGTCTTTGTCACTTTCTGAAGTCAGTGTAATCCAGTAGCCCTGATCTGCCAATTGCTATAGAAGTGATATACTATAATTACAGAAAAAAATTATAACAAGTTTTTTATTCAGCAAATTGGGGAGAGGGGGAGAGAAGGGATGTTCTGAAATATTTGAAATCAGTTGTAACATGTCAAATTGGATATCCCAGTCAACTGCCTTTGATATTAAAACCTATTGTTTTTCATTGCTTCATATGCCTTAAATTCTACAGTTCTGTGCTAGATAATGGCCAATTCAATTCTTCTACTGTATTCTGAAATTCAGTACACCAGATAATTGTATTTTATTTGCATGATTAATTTGGGCAGTGCATCAGATATTATCTCCTAAATGCCTTCTTCTAGATTGGCACTGGGTTAGTGGACCCTTGGTGCTCCAGATATAGTGGGGACTCGCTTCACTCAACATGGCAAATGGTTAAGGATGATGGGAGTTGTAGTCTAGCAACATCTAGAGGGCCACAGGTTTCTCACTTCTGCTTTAGAATCTAAGAATGACCATTAAACCGAAGCTTATTTTTAAGGGAGAACTCAGCAATTCAGTATATTCCACAGAATGTGGCATTTATAAAGGAACACTTATTCAGTAAACCCTCAGATCATTAAGATTTAAATGCCTTGGCTCCACTTAATGTGGGTTATTTTGGAATGTACGTGTAGAACATTTCATGGTCTTTCTTCAGTCTCCAGCTTATACATAATACAGAAGGCTGCAGACTCTCTTACCTACAGCTAGCAAAATCCTTCTGAGCACACCAATTTTCTTAAGCCTCTTTTGTTTCTCCACAAATACAGTCGCGGTCATGACATCCTTTGGATAAAACGGGTTTCGCAACATTCCGAACAGGTACACGGCCTGAATCTGTCCAAGAATCCACGTAGCGAGGAGCAATGCCATCAGCAAATAGCTCACAACAGCCTGGAGGCTGGTTTTAGAAAATGCCTGAGGACCGAGGAAGGAGTGCAACAGGCCAGCTTCCAGGAGAGCCAAAGTCAATGCAGTCAAATAGAAAACAAATTCCCGCCATCCAAACTGGGTCCCACAACAGCCAGATGCCTTTGTAAACTTGTCGGAGGCTAAGCAGTTTACCACAGTGCTCTTGAACGCAAACCCAATCTCTCTTAAGTTAAGACTCAATGCAAATCCAAATCCAGTCATGAAGAGGACGACACCAAGAGTGCTGGGGATGAAATAAGAGGCAACAGCTGTTCCCACAGAAATCAGAAACATTAATAGCAGCCTAGAAAAGGGGGAAAAAAGATTTATTTGGTTAGGAAGAAGTCATAAATGACATCTGGAGAGTTGGGTCTATTTTCATTTTGGGAAGAGCCATACAGTGGTACTTCGGGTACAGTGGTATTATTATTATTATTCGGGTAACATGCGCTTCAGGTTACAGACTCTGCTAACCCAGAAATAGTGCTTCAGGTTAAGAACTTTGCTTCAGGATGAGAACAGAAATCGTGCTCCGGTGGCGCGGCAGCAGCTGGAGGCCCCATTAGCTAAAGTGGTGCTTCAGGTTAAGAACAGTTTCAGGTTAAGAACGGACGTCCGGAACAAATTAAGTACTTAACCCGAGGTACCACTGTAATTCAGTGGCAGACCATCAGCCTTGCATACAGAAGTTCCCAGGTTCAATACCTGGCGTCTGCAGGTAGAGCTGGGAGAGACTCCCTGTCTGAAACTCTGGACAGTCTCTGGCAGTAAGTTTAGACAATACTGAGCTAGATGGACCAGAGGGTCTGTATAAGGCAGCTTCACGTGTTCATACCTTTCCATTCTACCACAAGCAGATCCAAGGATCAGCTTCTTCACCTACTGTGATTTTCAACAGGATGCTCTTTGTCCCATACACAATGTGATGACAACACGCCATACTGGAAGTTTGAGTTGAGCATCATACAGTGGTACCTCGGGTTACATACGCTTCAGGTTACAGACTCTGCTAACCCAGAAATAGTGCTTCAGGTTAAGAACTTTGCTTCAGGATGAGAACAGAAATCATGCTCTGGCGGTGCAGCGGCAGCAGGAGGGCCCATTAGCTAAAGTGGTGCTTCAGGTTAAGAACAGTTTCAGGTTAAGAACGGACCTCCGGAACGAATTAAGTACTTAACCCGAGGTACCACTGTATTAGCAATTAATCTCCTACGCAGTTTTGCAAACTGTCTGAAGGGTTTGTGAAACTTGCTTTGAAGTATGTGTGTAGTTTAGGGATATGCTTCTGCTGAACTGCATGGTTTTTTTTAAAAATAAAGAATATATTGGCACCCCAGAACCTAATAAACTTATGAGAGCATAAATTATCTCAGACTGGGGTTCACTTCAACAGATATGCAAAATGTTAACCTAAATCGGCAGATACGGTTGCAGAGGGTGAGGAATTTGAAGGAATGAATTCAGGAGGATGCAAAATGCAGGCCATTTCTTTCAAACGTCACTGTTTACAGTTCCATTAGGATAATGCTTCCTGCATCCGATTAAAAGGACTCCAGTTCATGAAAGGTTAAGCTTTAATACATGTCTTCGCCTTTAAGATGCCACAAAATAAGTTGTTTTTGCTGCAACAGATTACTACTGTTTGTTCATTGCTTTTACAAAACAAAAATATTAAAATGCAGAATTTACCATGCATTTAAAAACCCATGAAACTGAAAAGGAATAAATGTGTATTCTTATACCAAACAATGATTACCTTGTGTTACTTGACATGGGTGAACCGCCTAGACCAAGCTCCAACACTTGTTCCATTCCCCAGAGAAAAAGCGCGTCCAGTGGGGGCAAAATTCCCAGAGTCCACAAGAATGGCAAACACAAAAACACAACGTGCAAAATCTGGTTTGCCAGTTTTAAAGCTGGAACATCAGCAATGAATCTGGACAAAAAATGGAAATACGTATTATTTCTGTGACAGAAGACAGGCTTTTTACATCCAGCCGCATTGCCCCGCCCACCATTTTGCTGAAGTTTTTGAGCCATCTTATGGATTGTTTCAATATATGTAACTAAATACAAATGTTTACAGAAAGATGTTGCACAATATGGACCAGTAAAAAGTACTGATTTGTTTAAAAGATTATAACCTGGCTTCCATAGCAAGAAATAAATTACAATCTTCTAAGGCAGTCACTGCTGTAGGCAGCGCATACATTTTTACCTGTGAGTGAGGTCCACTGCGAAGAAGACAAAAATGTAGAAAGGTCTCATCAGAGGAACAATTTCGTAAGTGTCTAGTGCTTGGTAAGTAGCTGTCTCTGAAGCAGTATTGACAATTAAGGCGTACTCCCCAATGCAGACCGTCACCCAACCAAAGACAAAGATCATAACAGTTCCTCCAATGTTACCTCCATACAATGAGGCGATTCTATTAGGTAGAAGGTACCAAGTTCCTAAGCCACATAGCACCCCAGCGAGAAGTGAGTGAAAGATGATGTTAACTATGTATTTCTTGCCTGGAATAATAAATTTGACTGTCTCTGAGCCCAGAGAACTAGAGAACTCCCATTCATCTTCATCCGTTAGGGTACTGTGAGTATGCACTCTTTCCACCGAAGCCGTTTTCTGTTTTGCATACAGGCTTGCTGCCTGGACAGTAACAGCTGCAACTAGCATGAGTCCTCCAGAAACAGCAGCCGTAGAATAGTCTTGCAGAATACTTAGTTGGTAGAGCAGCGTCCCCACACCTCCCAGAAGACATGGTAGCAGGAAGAGAAGAATCTGGTTCACGTAGACATAAAGAGGCGCAGGGTGTCCCAATTTAAATCGAGGGCCGCCCAAAACAGTCTGCGGAAAACGTTTCAGGAGGAATTCTTGTTTGTGGTCGTTCAGCAGAGGAACATCTGGGCCCATTCTCATTCACTCAGACTTTGAGTGAATCTCATTTTCTCTGAGGAGGAAAAGGGACAAAAGGAAAATTTTACTAATAGAGTGCCATTCTAAAGATTGATAATAAAACAGCATTTCTCCAAAAAAAATGAAAGTGAAAGACCCATTCTAAAAACCAGATTCTCCATAACCCTGATTGGGGCAACTTTAGGTCTAATAACCCCCTCAGGGGGGGACCATTGGGCATATTCTACCAGTTTCTAACTCCCTGTAGTGTTTCTTGCTCAACCTCCCCTCGCACCCCCCCCCCCGTTTCCTGGGGTGTGGCCGCTGTCATAGAATCATTGAGTTGTAAGGGATCCTGTGATAGGAATTTTCACAAGGGTCATCTAGTCAAACCCCCTGAAATGCAGGAATCTCGTCTAAAGCATCCATTACAGATGTGCTTGAAAAACTCCCAAGGAAGGAGAATCTACAACCTCTTGAAGGAGGCCATTCCACCGTCACATGCTGGCAGCTTCTGGGAGCCACAGGTGAGAGCTGGTAGCCCTTGGGAAGATGCTCAACTAAAACTTCCATCGTCCCCCAATTATAGAACATGGGATCTGGAGTCCAAAAACATCTGAAGGACCACAGGTTCTCCACCGCTGCTTTAGGGGAACTGTTCTGTATATTTATAAACAACCTTTCGTGCATGAATAATTGCATAACTGACATTACTATCCAGCAGGCCATGCAGTATCGGAGGAACAACATGCAAGTACAGAGCAGTTTCAGTGGGCTCAAGCATGACCACAAATCAAGACATCATTATCTGATGCAGAGGGGAGCCTTCTCCCCAGAAGCGTCTCACTACATGAGCTCTCTCCTGGTCAACTGCAACATGACATCTGCTCTTTCTTCTGGTATCTGTGGCCATAGAACAAGAAGCACTAACCTAGACACTCCTTAAACTGCACCTGCCTTGCTTAAGGGTAGCCTGCTTCATTTTAAATTATCTTTTATTACAGTGGTGCCCCGCAAGACGAATGCCTCGCAAGACGAAAAACTCGCTAGACGAAAGGGTTTTTCGGTTTTGTGTTGCTTCGCTAGACGAATTTCCCTATGGGCTTGCTTCGCAAGACGAAAACGTCTTGCGCTTTTTTCTTAAAGCTGCTTGAAGAGGCGCAGTTGCGACGGACCGTGCTTCGCAAGACGAAAAACATCGCAAGACGAAAAGACTCGCGGAACGAATTATTTTCGTCTTGCGAGGCACCACTGTACTAGCAAGAGGGGGGAAAGCGAAGTGATTTTTCAAATCTTCCTACTATAATATTTAATACCTTTTAAGTGTCTTGGTAACCAGCATCCATTATCTTCTGCTTGGGAACCACCACAGGATTTACAAAATAAAGGCATCGTTGGACACAGGCCTTTCTGAATCACTACCATGTATCACTGACAGTCATCTTACCCCACTGATTAGTGGTTTTCATCTCCAGCTGGTCAGTAATAAAATTTAAATTGCTGCACGCAGCTAAATTGTCTTAAGAGAGAACACATACTTTAGAGCAGAAGTGAAGAACTTTAAGATGCTGCTGGACTTCAACAGCCCCAGAGGAGTTATTCAGCTTTTCCATCCCAGTTTTTCATGATGCCTTACTACTGTTAGGCTTGCTTGGCAGGTAGAAGAGGGCAACAGAATGGGAGTACAGGCAACCCACCATTTATGCAAGGGTTACGATCAGAGGCACCATGTGTTTAAGCGAAACTGCATATATTTGAAACACCATTGTAAAATCCTGCAAACACCCCGCTCAACCCCCACGCTGTTCTGGTCCTTTACTTTCTCGGGGCACTTCCAGGTTCAGTACGATGCATGTGTGCACGGTCACACACATATTGAGCGTGTGTAAATGGAGAATTGCCTGTAATAGAACACCACACCGGAAAACCGTTGGTGAACTCGTGCCAAGGAATAAAATTCTGTGGAATTGCCTGTGAAAACGATCTCGGGCGCCCAGGCTAGGAAGGAAGACTTAGTATAAGACGCCTTCCAATATGGGCCCAAGATGTTGGCAAATCAGAAGCAGGTCTGGCTTAATAGCACTTCTGGAATGTGTGCTTGCTGGGGGCGCCATGTGTTCAGGCTGTAGCAACTGCCAACAGGGCCTTCAGCATGCTTGCACCAGCATTACGGAAGTCTGTCCCTTGGTTATTAAACAGGGACTTGATATTCTGTGCTTTGTAAGAGGATGATTTTATATTGCGTACGTTTATATGTTCTTGATCACGGGTTAGATAGGATCAGGCAGTGCTATTTTTCTAGAAAAAGAGGTGAGTTGCCAGAACTCACCATGAGTTGTTCTTTTATAATAAGGTTACCAGATTTTTTTTCAATGAATTCGGGGACACTTTTCAGCTTCAATGAATTTTGTCAGGGGACTGATTTGTAAATCTGGGAACAGTCCCCAAGAAACAGAGACATCTGGTAACCTTACTTTATAATGGCAATTCCCCTGTACACACCTGTGTATGTATGCCTAATGACTTATAAATGAGGGCAAAAATAAAGCTTCCTGCTACTACCCAAAAATGCTAAAACAGTGGAACCTTGGTTGTCGAACGTAATCTGTTCCAGAAAACCATTCAACTTCCGAAACGTTTGACAACTGAGGCGCAATGGGCAGTCGGCAAAATCCACTGAAAAAATGGAGAAACACGTCTCGGAAGCCGTTTGACTTCTGAGACGTGTTCGAATAAGGAAGCATTCACTTCTGTGTTGTTGGAGTTCAAAAGCCGAAATGTTCTACTTCTGAAGCGTTCAACAACCGAGGTTCCATGTGCCAACTTATCAGGATTTTTTTTTTTAATGCGGCCTACTTCTGTGCCTGTTTCAGCACCCTGATTTGTAGAAATCTGCAAATACAGAATGTTTTGCTATTCGCTCACCTCCATTTCTTGCGCAGCAAGCTGATGTTAAAAAGCACAGGGTGCAATGGCCAATTAAGAGTTGGCAACCCTAACCAGCAAGTTGAGGCTGAGCCTCTCAAGAGACACATGGACACAAGCATCCCTTCTGCGCCGCTTGTAACCAAACAGAGGTCAACTCCACAGCAGAAACCAACATACCTGGGGGAAGTTACATTTCAGAGGCTGAAAAGAACGGCAGGCTTGCTGGATGAAACAACCCTTTAAAGAGAATCCGTAGCCTTAAAAAAAGAAGAAAACAAGTTATAAAGCAGAGCAATTAATGAGATCCGTTCTCCCTCACCCACCATCACTTGGCAACTGCAGAGGAACTAACAGACACAGAATAGGCACAATACACACCCACTATAGAAACCTTTTGATGGTTTCTATAGTGAAAGGGTCAAGTTGTCATAGCAAGGCCAGGAGCCTCATGCCAAAGCAAGGCAAAGGGGCTGAGCAAGAGCCCAACCCTGGCTGGCAGCAGCCCAGAAGCTACACAGCAAAGTGAGGCAAATGGATTGAGCAAGAGCCCAACCCTGGCTGGCAGCAGCAACAGCCCAGGAGCTGCATAGCAAAGGCAAGAGGCTGAGCAAGAGCCTGACCCTGGCTGGCAGCAGCAGCCCAAGAGCCACATACAAAAGCAAAAAAAGGGGGTTGAGCAAGAGCTGGACACTGGCTCACAGCCGCATAGCAAAGGCAGGAGCTGAGCCAGAGCCAGACTCTGGCTGGCAACCGCCTAGGAGCCACATACCAAATAAAGGCAAAGGGGCTGAGCAGGAGCCAGACCCTGGCTGGCAGCAGCAGCCCAAGAGCCACATACAAAAGCAAAAAAAGGGGGTTGAGCAAGAGCTGGACACTGGCTCACAGCTGCATAGCAAAGGCAGGAGCTGAGCCAGAGTCAGACTCTGGCTGGCAACCGCCTAGGAGCCACATACCAAATAAAGGCAAAGGGGCTGAGCAGGAGCCAGACCCTGGCTGGCAGCAACCCCAGCAAGCAGCTGCCTGGGAGCTACGTACGGAAGCAAGGCAAAGGAGTGCTTGAGCCAGACTCTGGCTGGCAGCAGCCCAGGAGCTGCATGGCAAAGCAAGGGCTGAACAAGAGTGAAACAACCCTGGCCGGCAGCCACCACCCAGGAGCCACATACAAAAGCAGAGCAAGGGGCTGAGCAGGAGCCCGACCCTGGCTGGCAGCAACACGCCGAGGCAAGGCAGGGGCTGAGCAAGAGCCAGACCCTGGCTGGCAGCAGCAGCAAGCGCCTTCCTCCCTCTCCCCGCCCGGAAAACCCCAAACCAGCCGCTTTTCGGGGGGAGCAGAGGCCGAGGGCGAAAATACAACCACATAGCGAGTCCCGCGGCCAGTTTAAAAAACGTTTATTATTACGGCCAAAGCCTTTCATGCTTAGCCGGGTGGGGCCGAGAAGGGAGAAGGAGCCCCAAAGGCTGGAAACCTGACAGGAAGGCGAAGAAGAAGGGAGCCTGCGGAGGAGCCGCCGCTCCTCCTCCCTTCCCTTCTTCGCGCCTTTTTCTCCTCAGGGCCGCCGCCGCCGCCATTTTGGCCCCGGCAAAGCGGAGGAAGGAGAGCGCGCAACAGAGGTCTCCTCGGAGGGTAGGGAGCGGCCGCCGCCGACCCCGCGGGGACCCGCACCTCCTCCTCTCCCCCCCTCCCCGATATCGATCAAGAGATATCGATCCATCGCCCACTCACCCAGCCGAGGGAGCCCGCCCTTCTCCTTCGCCCTCCCCGGGAGCCTGGGGGGAGGGGAGGGGAGGGGGGGAGAGGAAAAGATATTTCTATTTCTCTCTCTGCTTTTATTTATTTATTTATTTATTTCTCCCTCTCTGAATTCTGCTCCTTCCTGGGCTCCTGAGGAGGATGCGGGGCTGGGAAATGGCTTCTTCTTCTTCGGCGGCGGCGATGGCCGGCCGTGGCGCCTCCCCTTCCCTCCCCTCCTCTCTCCCTTCCAGGGGGAATCGAAAGGGGGGAAGAAAAGAAAGGAAAAGGAAAGGAAAGGAAAAAGGGGCTGCTTTATTAACAGCAGGCTCTCTCACCTGGCGAGTCGCAAAAGTGCGCGGTGGGTGCAGAGGAAGACGAAGAGGCACCGGCAGAAGAAGGGCGGGCGGCCTGGCAAAACCCCAATATTATTATTATTATTATTATTATTATTATTATTATTATTATTATTATTCCGCTTTATATTTTCAAGAGGGGAAATTTATTATTATTATTATTACCCCGCCCATCTGGCTGGATCTATACCCTCCAGCATTTATCCAATGTAAATAGGGACGTCCCATTCCATAATAATTTTTCATTTTATTTCTATACAGCTTTATATTTTAAGGGAGGGAAATATATTATTATTATTATTATTATTATTATTATTATTATTATCCCACCCATCTGGCTGGGTCCATACCCTCCAGCATTTCTCCGATGAAAATAGGGACGTCCCATTCCATTGTTATTATTCATTTCATTTCTATACCGCTTTATACTTTAAAGACAAAAATCTATTATTATTATTATTATTATTATTATTATTATTTCTATACTGCTTTATATTTTCAGGGAGGGAAATCTCTTATTATTATTATTACCTCGCCCATCTGGCTGGATCTGTACCCTCCAGCATTTATCCAATGAAAATAGGGACGTCCCATTCCATTATTATTATTATTCATTTCATTTCTATACCTCTTTATATTTTTAAGATGATGATGATGATTTATACATACATACCCCACACACATCTTACTGGGCTGCCCCAAGCACTCTGGGCAGCTTCCAACATATATAAAAACATAATAAAAAAATTAAACATTTTAAAAAATATTCCCGATATAGGATTGCCTTCAGATGCCTCAAGGGTCAGATAACTCCATACCCTCCAACATTTCTCCGATGAAAATAGGGCTGTCCTAAGGAAAAGCAGGACATTCCAGGATGAAATCAGAAACCTGTAAATCAGGGATGTCCCTGGAAAATAGGTCTCTCCAGCCACTTTGGGTGGCTTCCAGCACATATAAAAACACCATCACGATTTCTATTTCTAATTTTAATTTATATTTATATATGTTGGCAGTGCTGCTCTTGTGACCCATGTTAGATCACCCCACGACCCAAGTAGTGGCGTCCTGTCCCCTCAGCTGAAGTTCAGTGCTTTACACTATTATTATTACTATTTATTAAATTTATTTACTGCCCTTTGCCAGAAGACCACAGAGCAGTTTACAACACACAACACAAATAGAAGTCCCTAGTAAAAGGCATGCAACATTGGTGCTTTATGGGTCGTGGTTTGCGGCACATTAAAACATCAAACGAAACAATCCAGAATGAAACAGTTACTGAAGAAAGTCAAATACAAAGTATACATTCAAAGCAACCTAATTAACAGGGAACTAAAACATCTTAAAGAGACTTCAAAACAAAAGATTACACTGGAGGTCAACTCTAGCATACATATTTAACACAAACAAAGTTAACAACTAAAGTCTTAAAACATTTCAAAAGAAAACATTGCTAAATGAAGTAAAATATAAAATATATGGTCTCTGGCCTCTTGAGCAGCCTCAGCTTTTGTAGCTGGAGTCAGTGATTCGACAATGAATAAGTCAAATTTGGGTATTTGTGTTTGTTTCATAATATTTCATGGACTCAACTGTACAGTTGGAAGGGGACACAAGGGTCAGCTAGTCCAGCAGTGCCAGGAGTCTTTCACCTGATGTGGTCTTAGACCCCTGACCCTGAGATTGAGAGTTACTGAACAAACTTAATAGTTAAAAATTAAATTTACCTAAATATTAACTTTAGCAAATTCAGGAAGTTATACACCACTATGATGTTTAAAACAACAACAGCGCCCTCAAAAACAGTTTAAGGTAAAGGTAAAGGTACCCCTGCCCGTACTGGCCAGTCTTGACAGACTCTGGGGTTGTGCGCCCATCTCACTGGCCAGGGGCCAGCGCTGTCCGGAGACACTTCCGGGTCACGTGGCCAGCGTCACAAAGCTGCATCTGGCAAGCCAGCGCAGCACACGGAAACGCCGTTTACCTTCCCGCCAGTAAGCGGTCCCTATTTATCTACTTGCACTTAAGGGTGCTTTCGAACTGCTAGGTTGGCAGGCGCTGGGACCGAGCAACGGGAGCGCACCCCGCCACGGGGATTTGAACCGCCGACCTTTCGATCAGCAAGCCCTAGGCGCTGAGGCTTTTACCCACAGCGCCACCCGCGTCCCTCAAAAACAGTTTACAATAGATCAAAACGAGGAAAAGTTTGAGACATACAGTAATTAAAATGCCCAATACAGTACTGAAATGCTAGATGCCTTTAGGCAGGGGTCAGCAAACTTTTTCAGCAGGGGGCCGGTCCACCATCCCTCAGACCTGGGGGGGGGGGGGCGGACTATATTTTGAAAAGGAAAAAAAATGAACTAATTCCCATGCCCCACAAATAACCCAGAGATGCATTTTAAATAAAAGGACACATTCTACTCATGGAAAAACACACTGATTCCCGGACCGCCTCTGGCCGATTGGGCCGCATCCGGCCCCCAGGCCTTATTTTGCCTACCCATGCGTTTAGGCTTTTAAGGGAGAGCAGGGAAACTAGTTGCATTCCAGATGTTGCCATCAACCGCAGCCAGGATGGTCAATGGTCAGGAACTGTGGGAGTTGTCATAAGAGTGGGAAAAGGTTTGGAGCAGGGTGACCGAAATAATCAAGGGGATGGAGCTACCCCCCTATTAGGAAAGGTTGGGGCTTTGTAGTTTAGAGGAAAGGCGAGTAAGAGGATATGTCTCCCTTAAGTTGACAGAGAAATCTACTAGAAGGGTACAGAAGGGAAATAGCTCAGTCAGTAGAGCATGAGACCCTTAATCTCAGGGTCTTGGGTTCAAGTCCCACGTTGGGTGGGAGATTCTTGCATTGCAGGGTGTGGAACTAAATGATACTTATGGTCCCTTCCAACTCAATAATTCTATGATTCTATAGTAAGATTGTGTCCCAAAGCCATGAGCTGTTAAGAGCCAGCATGTGACCAGTTACCAATAAAGTCACATTTTTTTTCCTCTTTTCACCCCTACCCCTTTGACTGGTGCTGGAGCTCACGATAAACGCCTCCCTTGTTCTCTTATAATAGCAATGGCGCCCACCTGAGAGGTGCTGGAACTGAGTTCTGGCAAGTTTCGGCTGGAAAAAAGTCCTGGACTTACAGTTCCCAGAAACCTTTAATAAAGCGACAGTGCCCAGAATTAATTTAGAAGAAAAATGTGCTTCAGATGTGCTTTAAAGGCACAGTGCGCACACAGCCTTTGTGGCATGGCAGCGTTTGCCAAAAACTGTATAGCGAAGGTGCCAGGCACACCTCTATGGGGTTCCACAACCTAGGGGCTGCCCCAGAGAATTCCCTATTTATGTCCTCCGCATTAGCTTCCTCTGGATGAGCTCATCAGAGACAAAGCAAGAGAGACAGCAAAATTACCAGCCCTCCTAAGAGACTGTCCACCTATTGTGTCTCTGAATAAACCATGGCTTTTTCCAGTTGCGGGGAGACACACCCATATCAGAATCTGATGGAAGTGTGCTTCTTTCAGGGCAGGGAACTCCTCGATTTTCTAAAGCTCGAATCCTTATACACACATACCTCCAGGGAAGTATGGGATTACTTCTGAGTAGACATGCTTAAGACTGCACTATAAAGGTAAACATTTCTGGCTGAAAGATGTATAGGATTTTGATTTTCAAAGTCCTCAGAAGTTTCAGAAGCAGTGATTTACTCGTTTCAGGTCAAGGAGGATTATACTGTGAGGTTTCGTACACGAAATGTATAAATAGTTAAAATGCTGCAACAAAGACCACTCACAGCAAGTTTTAATTGGGCCGATCTATTGTTTTTTCACTATGGGCTATGATTAGTTTTAAACGACTTCCTATAACTGAAACACTCAAATGAGCTTTTAAATAGGCCTTCATTATTTTAGTCCCTAACTTTACTTAATATGTTTGGACAGATTCTCACAGTTTCCGTTGCTAATACGATTCCCTGCAAATAGAGCAGAAGGTTCAGCAGAACAAAAGAAATGATCTAATTTTAGTAATGGCGCAAGCAAGGCCTGTATAATCATGTACTCTCCTCGTCTAGTTTTTGAATGTCGAAGACTTCTTCCCTCCCTGGATTGAGTTGAATTTGCATAATAAGTGCGCGAGTGGATATTCTTTTTCATCTGGAGTTTTATACAGCATCTCGCCAAAGGTATATGGGTTTTTGGGATGTTGCTTACCTGATTCGAGACACATCCAAACCTTTGTCTAAAACTGGGCAATCATAGGCTAAAGAATCACATTTGATAAACTGCAGGGAGTCATTGTGCAATGCCATTGCACACTCGAGTTTTTTATTATTGGTATTCCTTCGTTCCTTCATACAGTGCTATTGGTGAAGGCGATCTTTGCAAATCCCGGCCTTGGGCAGCTCAGCTCAATTTTTAACAGTGAAACCGACTGCAGAAAGGGAGGGAGATGGGGTGGCAGCCGTAACAGAACAAGCTGAATAACTTTCAGACTCCCTCGGAAGGTGGTGGGTTCTCCTTCACAGGAAGTTTTGAA